ATTCTTCTTTAGCATCGTGAAACATAGACTGGGGGGGCACTGAGGGAGGCAGTCCTTAGTCACTGTGGAAAAGGCTGTGGACAACACTCAGCCTTTAGGAGGCAACATCAGAGAACTCATACTTAGAGAACCACGCTGTGTAATTAGTTATAAAAAAGCCTCTAGGTACTCTCGCTTCTTGCTCTGGGAATTCAGTGTAGGAGGGTTCATACTGGGAAACTCCCTAGGGGCAAAGTCGATTCTGTAGTCTTTCAACTGCCGCTTTATTTTTCTTTTAAGGCAAGGTCTCACGTATCCCAAGCTAACTTCATACTCACAATGTAGCAGGGAATGACCTTGAACTGCTCACTCTTCTGCCTCACCCTCCTGCCTCTGCCTCCTGAGTACTGGGATTAAAGATATACCTTTAAAGACACAGCTTTTATTTTGAACCAGGAAATTTTTAGAGAAGCTCATCAGACACAATCAACACGGACGTTGAGTTGAAATTCTATTTTATTTGTCATTAGAGATGAATCAAAAGCTGAAGTGATTTGGGGGCCATTAACAAACACATTACGTAAAAGCATGAAGACTGTCCATACATATGGCTCCCTTTAGTCACAGACAAGCAAGCAGTCCTTTACTACATGTCTCTTTGATTTACCTCAAAAAACACACCTAATGGGGCTCCCAGTCTGATCTGATGAGCAATGTCTGATAAAAATGATTACAATGGATAATCAACTTACATGAAAATACTCTAAGTAACAAAATATCTTTCATCATAGACAATCAGAAAACCACCAACCTGGAAGATCCATACAGAAATCATACATCCCTGAGCATATTCTTCAGGATTAATATATATGTGATTTTAAAACATCTCAAGAGGGCTAAAGGGTATACCACCAATTTCCCCTGCATATTCTGTATGTTCTCATTACAAACAAAGCAGACATTATAATAAGTTATCAATATGTTGTCAGTGGCATTACACCATTTACACAGGTATGGAATTTCTTAGTTCCAAGAGCATGGCCAATATCTAGGCAGACTTAAAGCCATTTCATTGCTTTATAGTGTTCAGATGCCAAGAATAATGATAACCTCAACCAAAAGGCCTTCCAGAAAAGTGGAGAGTAGACACCGCATTGGTTTCTCTCCAGAAATCCCAAGCATTAGAGCACAAGAAAAGATCTCAGTAACAAAAGGACACTAGTTTTGAATATTGTGCTCACTAAAGATAGCAAGCATACATGAGAGCAAATATTTCCAGCCGACAAAGACTCAAAAACTACCTTCTTTCCAGGAGAAATTCCCCCAAGAGGACATAACAGTAATAACTCATAATAATATGTGAGCCATGTCCCAAAAGACAGATAAAAGGAGTGCTGTCCATAGACATTCAGTCCTAAGGGGGAAACCCATAAGCACTCTAAAAGTCCTTAAATAATAAAATGGACAAAATGTGGTTCATCTGCACAGCGGTTAGTGTGAACTACTGCCGGCTTCAGGGATGGCTCAGTGGTTAAGAGTGCTTGCTGCTCGTCCAGAGGATCCAAGTTCAATTCCTAACACCCACATTGCAGCTCACAACTGCCTGTAACTCCAAGATCTGCCGCCCTCACACAAACATACATGCAGGCAAAACACCAATGCACATAAAATAAATACATTTTTAAAAAGAGTAAACTACTGACACAGTAACTAGCGTAAACTTAAAGACTTTGTTGAGTGAAAAAGCCAGATGCAAGAAGAGGAAAAACTAACGGGGGATGATCAAGATAATGGTTACCTTTATACTGTCCAGGAAGTGGTACAGAGCTTTGGAAGTTGTACAGCTGTGACCTATGTGATGAACACATATGTATTCCTGTATTTTAAACCCACTGAGTAGGTTTAGAAGCAATCTCAGCAGATAACAGCATGTGATGCTCTTTAAGATAACCTGGGATCATTTCCAACACCCATGCCGGCAGTTCATAATTCCCTGTAACTCTAGTTCCAGGGAACCTGAAAACTTCTGGCTTCCATTGGCTTACAGATGCATGGGGTACACAAAAACTCACACAGGCACACACACGTACATGTCAGTAAAAACAGATTCTTGGAATATCCGCTGAAGCTGGGAATTATGGAGCAGGCTTCTGAGATCACAAGGAGATCAGGAGGATCAGGAGTCACAGCCCTCTGAGCTACACAGTAATTTGAAGTCAACCTAGGCTATATGAAACACTGTCTCAAAAAATTAATCTTCATGCTATGTCCTGTGTGTGTGAGAGCGATATACATTAAAAAAAAAATGTTTATCTTATACGTATGGATGTTTTGCCTACACGTATGTCTCTGTACCACATGCATGCCTGGGAAACCAGAAGAGGATGTCAGATGACCTGAGACTGGAATTACAGATAGTTGTGAGCCACCATGTAAGTGCTGGGAATGGAACTCAGATCCTCTGGAAGAGTAACCATTGCTCCTAACCACCGAGTCCTCTCTCAAGCCCCTATACATCAGTTTAAAAAGTGGTACTTTTAGCTGGGAAGTAGTGGTGCACATGTTTATTTAATACCAGTATTCGGGAGGCAGAGACAGGTGGATCTCTATGAGTTGGAGGCCAGCCTGGTCTAACAAGCAAGTTCCAGGGCAGCCTCCAAAGCTACAGAGAAACCCTGTCTCAAAAAATCCAGAAACAAAAACAAAAAACCCTGGTATTTTTTATGGGGTTTGTTTAGTTTTTTGATTGATTGGTTTGGGGGTTTGGTGTTTTGTTTTGCTTTGCTTTGTTTTGTTTTGAAACAGGGTTTCTCTGTATAGCCTTTGCTGTCCTTGGCTGTCTAGGTTGGTCTTGAACTCACAGAGATCCACCTGCCCCTGTCTCCCAAGTGCTGGGATTAAAAGGATGTACCACTACCTCTTAAACATCTGAAAAGTTGTTCAATATTTTTGAGATGAGACCTTACTATGTAACTCACTGTCTATGTAAAACTCTCTATGAAGCTCAAGCTGACTTTGACTGTGCCACCCTTCCACCCCAGGATCCAAATGCTAGTATCACAAGAGTACAAACAATCAGAAGCATTTACTGCTCTGTCCCAGAGCTGGAGAGCAGATCCCACCATCCACATCGGCTGCTCACGGATTCCTGCTCCATGGAATCTAACATCTGCTTGTAGCCTCTAGGGGCATCTACACACGTGTGCACATATACACACCAACAGATACACAGAAAACGAATCTTTAGAGGCTGGAGAGATTGCTCAGTGTTTACCAGTGCATACTGTTCTTTCAAAGGACCCACGGTCACTTCCCAGCACCCAAGGGAGCTTTACAACTGCCTGTATCTCCAGTTCCAGGGAATATGGTGTCTCTACCCTCTGCAGGCACCTGGACTCAGGTGCACGTTTACATTCATACACATAATTTTACTTCTTTTTTTTTTGGGGGGGGGGGGGGTTCAAGACCGAGTTTCTCTTTGTGACAATACTGGCTGTTCTGGAACTCAGAAATTCCCCTGCACCTGCCTCCCAAGTGCTGGGACTAAAGGCTTGTGCCACCTCTGCCTCTTTCACTGTTAATAGCTAGCCCACCTCAGACTAACACCATCAGAGAAATTTTCATTTATATGCTTGCAAATTTAGATCAGCTATAGCATCGGTATGATCTAGCAGTTCAGCAATGACCACACACACTCAATTTCTATCTTTCCCTTAGGCTGACTTCACATTGGTTGCTCTTTTTGTTCATGTATATGGGTGTTTTATCCACTTACATGCCTGGCTCCCCAAGAGGACCAGAAGAGGTTGTCTGGTCCCCTTGAACTGGAGTTACAAACAAGTGTGAGCCACAATGTGGGTGTTGGAAAATTAATCTGGGTCCACGTAAAGAGCAGCCAGTGCTCTTAACCACTGATGTATCTCTTTAGCCTCATATATTTGTTGTTTTAATTACCTCCCAATTACATTGTAGTTTCCAGCAAGGACACAATGTACTTCTTTTGCATTTCTATGGCTGCTTTAACTCCATTACTACAAACTTTGCAGATTAAAATAGGAGATAAACCTTAACAAAAATGTATTCTTCTATTTTGGATGGCATAAGTATAAAATCAGTATCACTGGTTGAAATCAAGGTGTTGGCAGGTCTATGCACCACACTGAGACTTCAGGAGAGATCAAATTCCACGCCTCTACTAATTTCTAATATCTTGGTTTCTGTATGTAACTCCAACCTTTGCCTCTGTGGTAACATCATCTCCATTTGTGTTTGTGTTTGTGTGTATTCAAATCTCTTTGCTTGCCTCTAATAAAAGCACCTGGCTACATGGATAAACCAGGATAATCTTCCTATCAGAACACATTAATTACATACACAAAGTCTCTGGTCCTTCATGAGGACAACAGTCACAGGTTACAAGGATCAGGACCTCACAGTGTTAGAGGCCATTTTCTGACCTAAGGTATTTTCCAAATCATTAATCAAAACTATGGGCTTCCCAGTTTGTGTTCCCTCCTTTAGCCCAATTGCCATCAAGATACCTTTCAACCAGTGGCTCAGGTCAGAGTAACTAACAGGTCTGTGAGCTAATCGCAATGGCAATGGAAGCACAATGAAGTCATATGGCTGCATGGGAGACTCACCTCTGCTGCTGGACTTCTGGGCATGTTCATCCATGGATTCCTAGTTGGGAGTCTTGAGAGGGATAAGTAAGGTTGTCTCACACATGAACGATAAAGATAGGCTAGGAGAGGCTAGGATATATAAAACCAGAATGAATGAATGGATGAAAGAAAAGAGACAGAAAGGAAGAGAGAAAGTAGGAAAGAAGGAACAAATTCCAAGGAAATACCATCAGAATAAAAGTAGCATGATCTCTGAGTCAATACTAATATATAAAAATTAATTAAAGTTACAAATTAAGAACAATATAGTCAGTCTACTTTGGCCATAAGAATAAGCACCACGGGCTTCGCTCAGCCGTTCAAGGCTACGCTCATAACCAGAAAATATAAGAATAAGCAACATAATGCATTAAAAACCCTATTTAGAAACCTAAAGGAATCGCAGACCCTGGGTGCAGGAGGATAGGTCAGTGGGCTCCAGGCATGAGAAGAATATCAGAATCTCTGGACCCCAGGAAAACCCACGACATCAGTGGGAACAGAAAGCAGAGAGACCCTGGAAACAGAAGACAGGCAGCGTAAGGAGTACAATCGACGTCTGTGTCAATCCGGCCGTCGAGGACGCTAAAAACCTTCCAGAGACGTCGGGGGCTGACGTCAGGCTCCCTCCCGGGAATGACGCGGGCGGCCACCAGGGGCGCTGTGTGCGCAGACGGAACCGTC